GCTGCAACAGCCAGAGGTGAGCCGATTCGAAACCAGGGGACAGTGTGGCCTTGGTCACAGTGTCATCACAGTGATGGTCAACTCAGCAGCACAGATGCACACCTGCTTTCCAAGGGCTGCCACCCCAGGGTAAATGAGCCTGAGATAGGCCTCATCTCATCCTCACTGCGCCCCAGCAACTCAGCCCTTGGGGGAATGCAAAGGCATCAAGTGTGTGGATACAGGAGAGGAGGGGACGTGTGGGTGTGAGAAACACCCTTGGGATGATTAGAAGGTAAGACTCACAGACAGAAATAGCCACGGGGCTAAGACGGCTGATGTTTCATGCCTTATGTGGACATCTTACATTTTTATATTAAAAAAAAACTTTTTCACTAAAAATGACTCTCAGATCTATTACATTATTGTGAAAAGATATTCAATCTGCTTTACAAAAGTGAAAAGAGATTTTCAAGGTCAGGTGATTCTGGCTAAATCCTCATATACAAGGGAGCTTCAAAAATTCATGGGGGAAAAAATGAATCAAAAAATAAGTTTAGGAGGCTGTTCCCATCCAGCTCCCTGTTTATGGCATAGGAAAACAGCCTTGGACCCCAGCACCCGTGTGGGCGACCCAGAAGATCATCCTGGCTCCTGGCTTCAGATTGGATCAGTCAGATCCAGCCACTGTAGCTATTTGGGAAGTGAACCAGTGAATGGAAGATCTTTCTGTCTCTCTTTCTGTCAATCTGCCTTTTATATAAGAATAAAATAAATAGTTTAAAAGTCTTTCAAATAAAATTCTAAAATGATAAATTTATTGTGGTGTAAAGAAAAGAGTTTGAAATCTATTTCTGGGGCAGTGGAGTAGGGGGAGGAGTCTCTTGAAAGTTTATAGGAGGGGAGGCATTGTGGCACAATGGTTTAAACCGTTGCCTGCAATGCTAGCATCCCAAATGGGTGCCAGTTGAGTTTCAGCTTTTCCACTTCAGATCCAGCTCCCCACTAATACACCTGGGAAATCAGCAGAGGATGACCCAATTCCTTGATCTCCTATACCCATGTGGGAGGAAGGAATGGGGCTCTGGGCTTCAGCCCTGTGACCAAGGATAAACACTATTGTAACTTCTGGCACCATCAATTCAATTTCCTGGTTTTGACCTTGACACTAATGGAGTCACATAGCTACTCCTTTTGAGTCTGACTTCCTTTGCTCAATATGGTATGTGGGCTTCAGTCATCATTCCATATAACGGGCCGTCATTAATCTTCATTTTTACACAGGGCTAGACAGATAATGAGTTAAAGCCAGCAAGACCCTTGAACTACTCCAGGAAGCAAGTTTATAGACAGCTCTCCCAGAAATCAGGAGGACTTCTGCCGGGCTTTGGGCTGGTGGTACCCAGCTTGGAAGACAGGGCCTTGCTGGTCCAAACTTACTGCAAAGCTACAGTCCGTCATCTCTGGAAAGCCAGAGGCTCTTGCTTGAACTTAGCCCTGTGCCCAGTCCTCTGAGGGACGCCCCTACAACCAAGAGGTAGGTATGACTCGTGTCCCCATTTTGCAGACAATAAAATGGAGACTGGGACCAGTGTTGTGGTAAAAATGGGTTTAATCACCACCTGCAACACTAGCATCCCATACAGGTACTGGTTTGAGTCCCCACAGCTATGCTTCTGATCTGGCTCCCTGCCAATGTACCTCGGAAAGCAGAGGAGGATGGCCCAAGTGTTTTGGGCCCCTGAATCCACATGGGAGACCTAGAGGAAGCTCCTGGCTTTGGCCCTGGCCATTGCTGCCATTTGGGAGTAAACCAGTGATTGGAAGATTTCTCTCTCCCTCACTCCTTTCTCTTTCTCTGTAACTTTACCTTTCAAATCAAATAGCTACAATAAATCTTTTTTTTTAAATGAAATAAAGCTGACTTGGAGGAGTTGAGTAAGTTGTCCTGAGGTTCCACAGCAAGAAAAAGGACCCAGATCCTGACCAATGCAGCCCTAAAAGCCAAGCCTCTCCATAATGGCAGAGATTTTGCCAGCTAGATCTGGCCCCCACTACATTTTACTTGTCCCAGCTCTGCTGCCCAGGTTCACCTGCCAGGGCCACTCTGGCCTCCTGGCAGCAGCTCCAGCCCCAGGCTCCTCCCTGCCTCAGGACCTGTCTGCGCTGATTCCTTTGCCTGCATATTAACCCCTCAGCTCTCAAATCCAAGGCCATGTCCTAGAGCAGCCTTGTCTGATCACTTAGTCTTTTCTTTTTTTTTTAAGATTTATTTATTTATTGGAAAGTCAGATATACAGAGAGGAGGAGAGACAGAGAGGAAGATCTTCCATCCAGTGATTCACTCCCCAAGTGAGTGCAACGGCTGATGTTAATGCCGATCCAAAGCCAGGATCCAGGAACTTCTTCCAGGTCTCCCACACGGGTGCAGGGTCCCAAAGCTTTAGGCTGTCCTCGACTGCTTTCCCAGGCCACAAGCAGGAAGCTGGATGGGAAGTGGCGCTGCCAGGATTAGAACCGGCACCCATATGGGATCCCGGGGCGTTCAAGGCAAGGACTTTAGCCGCTAGGCCACACCACCAGGCCCTGATCACTCAGTCTTAAACTCAGTCCCACTTTTCTTGGGGACTCCTGTTCTCTCTTACTCACAGTCCTTCACACACCTTAGAACAATGTACCCATTGACATTCCTGTGCATAGTGCCTTTCTCTACCAATAGATCATGAACTGCAAGAGGAGGGCTAGGAGGACTGCCCTAGATGGCCACTTTCCACACTTCCAGCTACTTGAGCACAATTGTAGTGCACACTTCATTGAATGGAACATTACCTAAATAATCACCTCATGGGCTTTAATAAGTACCTCATTCCCAGTCCCATGATGCAATGTCTCAGGATCCTACTCTGTCCCATTTTGGATGTGAATCACCCCTTTGGCCAGTGGATCCACACAGTATAGGCTACTCTCTCCTTAATCACTCAGTTACCAGTATCAGTGTTTGTCTTCAAGTTACCATGATTTTACTCAATAATGGCCCCAACATACAAGAGTCATGACAGCAATTCAGATATTCCAAAGAGATTCTGTAAGATGGAAAGGGAAAAGTTCTTGACTCAAGCAAAGAGAATCTTAAATCTTAGGCTCAGCCTGGCTTGATCCATGACACAAGCTAATCTTCTATCCACACAATTGTGAATAAGGAGAAAGAAACGTGCTTTGTTGCTGCACTTGCAAACTATGAAAGCTACAATCACAGGCCAAGTGCTTGGTTAGGATGGAAAGGGCATTCAATGGCAAGGCTCTGTATTATTCAGGGTTTGGGGCATACCCTGGGAGATTACAGGGTGATCCCTGTAGATGACCAAGGACTCCTACATAAAGAGATAAAGGAAAACAGGAGAGTAAGGTGGGCGCCTGAGGGCAGCTGTAGTTCCAGGCTATTCTGTGGCCCCAGGAGAGCTCCTTCTTCTCTCTGAACCCGGTTCCACTGTCAAATGTGGAGCCTGGAAGGGAGGACCTCTAAAGATGCCTCTAGCTCATCTGATGCCCATTCCTCTAAGCCTCTTACCTACCAACAGCCCAGTCAGCACTGGGGGTGAGAAAGAGGAGCTCCTCCTGGGATGATCCCAGGAGCTCCCCAGGCTGGCAGCCACATGGAGTCTTTGCAGTCTGAGAAGTAGCAGGGGTGGGGGCTCCCCCAGAGCTTAGGTTCTTGATATACAGAATGGGAAGAGACAGATCACAAAAGAATATGACAGGAATTATCCAGGAAACTGCTTCCACTTCCTTCCTTAACTAATTATTATTTGAAAGGCAAAGTGACAAAGAGGGAGAACAAAAGAAGAGGGAGCCATTTTCCATCTGCTTGTTCACACCCCAAATTGCCCATAATAGCTACAGGCTGGGCCAGACCAAAATGAGGAGTCAGGAATGCCATCTGGGTCTCCCATCTGAGTGGCAGAAAGCCAAGTACTGAGCCATCAGGTGCTGCCTGCCGGGGGCGGGGAGGTGCGTAGGGGGTAAGCAGGAAGCTGGGTAGAAATGTAGAGCAGCCAAGACGTGAGCCAGACACCACAGAATGTGGGCATTTGCGCCACAACACTCACTCATATTCTCAGCTCCTTCACACACCCAACCTACCTCTAGTGCTGTTTCCATGCAGCTCCCCTCACTGCCAGGTCAGAGCCCAAAGAGGACAAAGGCTATGTCCTCCTCATCTTTATAGCCCAGCTGTTGCAAGGCATTTGGGAAGTGAGCCAGCAAATCAGAAACCTCTCTCTCAATCTCTCCCTTTTTCACTCTGTAACTGTGCCTTTCAAATACATACTTTTTTTTTTGAGAAAAAACAAATTTATTTTGGTAAAAATTTTAAAATTCATAATAGATTTTTTCACTTAAGAGACCATGCACAGACCCCAAAAACTTTTTGCATCAAAAAAACTTCAGCTGTCATTCTGTTTTCCACCGACTTTCTGAAGTGGTTTCATAGCCCTTGCAGAGCTGAGAGGCTCTCTATCTGCATGCTGTTTGGCAAACCTTGGAATGGCCCCAAGTAACTCAGATCCCGGGCTCGTACGGCTAATTGCTCAACACAAATCCACTTTCAGGAGGGTTACTTCACCTCCCCATCAGCCTCGGAGCTTTGGAAACAAAATTCTAGGCACTGCAGAGAAGCCCAGTGAGAAGCAAGACCAACACCACCAAGTCAGGTACCCCAGTGGAGCCTGGGCAGGGCTTTGTATGAAAAGGAACCTGCAAAACAAGAAGTATCTTGAAGTGCTATCATAAACAACACATATCTCAACAGCTCTAGAACCTTTCAAGGCAAGTCCATCATTCCAGAGAGATGACTATTTGCAGGGTCATCTAGGAAGAAGCATGAACCACAGCTGGTTTTCTAGAATGTCCAACTCATCCTGTGACAAGCCCAAGGCTTGCAATGCTGGCTTGGTGATCCCAGTAGAACCAGCCCATCCCCCGGGCTCCATCACATGTCCCCTCCACTTCTCAAAGTCTCTTACCTCCCCAGCTCCTCTCCTATGTCGTAAAAGTCCTCCACCTTCTGCTGCTTGAACGTCTCCATGTTTGGGCTCCTCATTGAGGCCTGGACCAGACACCCCTGAAATGGGAGGACACCTGAGATTAGCACAGCCATGCAAATGACCACAAATATAGGAAGTGTGAGGCCTAAAGCTAATAGGTTGCAGGGGAGAGAGTAACTGACCAGCAGTCCCCAGCCCTGGTTCCTCAAAGACCTCTTGTCACCCGTAGCTAACTTGTTATGTGACCTAGATGTATTCCCACTTGTAAAGACAGAGGAACACATCCATAGCCAACTGCATCTCCTTCTCATTTCATAGGATGGGCACGTGGCCTAGCAGTCACAACGCCTGAATCAGAAAAGTTAAGTTGAGGCACCAGTACAATGGCTAAGTTGGCTAATGCTCTACCTGCAAGCACTGCTGGGATCCCATATGGATGCCAGTTTGTGTCTTGACTATCCCACTACCCATTCAGCTCCCTGCTTGCGGCCTAAGAAAACAGTACAGGATGGCCCAAAGCCTTGGGATCCTGTACCCAGATAGGAAACCTGGAGGAAGATCCTGGTTTATGGCTTCAGATCAGCTCAGCTCTGGCTGCTGTGGCCACTTGGGGAGTAAAGCAGTGGATGGGAGATTTTCTGTCTTTCCTTCTTTCTGTAGATCTGCTTTTCCAATAAAAATAATTTTCAGAAAAAAAAATAGAAAATTTAGATCCAATACCAGATCTGGTTCCTGTCTCCGGCTTCTGACCAGTGCAGACCCTAGGAGACAGCAGACGATGGCTCAACAGTCAGGTCCCTGCCTCCCCTGCAGGAGATCTGGACTAAGGTCCCAGCTTCCACCTTTGGCCTGGTCTAGCCTAGCTGCTGTTGCAGGCATTTCAGGATGGAACCTCTCTCTCTTTCTCTCTTTCTCTCTCTGCCTCTCAAGTAAAAGTACAAATAAAAGAGAAGAGGAAGCTCTGATGCAAGGAGAAAGCTCACTAATGTTTGAGTCAGAACTCCTGGGTTCCAGCTTGCCTTGGGTGACCCATTTCAGCTGCCACAGACTTAGCCTCTTCATCTACAAAATGGAGCTAATGGTATACTAATCAAGACAGGAAATCCTTCCAAAAATGGTAAAATGCTGTATTGAAAGGCAAGGGATTAGCATGACCTCAGCTCCCTGGGGAGGTGTGCCACCCAACTGCGAGTCTGAACTGATGTGTAGACTCTCACTGTCATCATCCCATGGAGACAGTGGGCGGGAAATGGCATGACAAATTACAACAAGCTCAAGGAGCCAGGAGCCAGGAGCCTGAGGCGCTGGTTGCAGCTTGGCCCACAACCAGCACTGTGATCTCACCTCATGTCATCGGGACCTCAGTGTCCTCATCTGTCAAATGGAGCTCCCCTGGCTGCCCAGGGCATAGTAGTGAGAGTCACTGGGCAGCTCTAAAGCTTGGGGAGCAGTTGGCACTGCATCCAAAGAGACTGCACGTGTGCCTGGGGTCCCCCTTGCTGGGGAAGCTCATCTGCTCCCACAACAGCCACATGCCAGACTGGAAAGCACCCAGAGTACAGCCCGCAAATCACAAAGATAAAGCCAGCTGCCTGTGCACACAGGAAGTCTTTCTCGGCAAAGGCATTGCAGAGCTCTTTCTGCCTGGCCTGGGTGACTTCTCACCTACATGCCAATCAGATACAAGCCACTCCCAGACTCCAAAATCCCCCCTGAGACTATTTCACCATTTCTTACTTCAAGGGCAGGTGTCAGTGATGCCAAGTGGTCAGGGCTGTTCCAGCTCTCACTCACCCTCCTTTCTCACCTGTGCCCTTGCAAACCACAGTTCCATCAACAGTTCCATCAACATGCCACTGCCCTCTCCCTCCTAGGAGGTCCCTGGCAGAGGTGGCCTGGCATTCCCACCTCACTCTCCCTGCCCATTGGCACTGTGGTCTAGCACATGCCTTTCTCCCTGCTTCGTCTGTACCATGTGCAGGCCAATGGGTGAGAGGAGCCAGCGGCCCCAGCTAGGAACTAGCTTCGGTCTATGTTATCCTGGTGGCTTACAGGATGCTGGTGCCCTCTCTGGGTTTTGTTTCCCTCCTCCGTAAACAGGGACACCACTTCCTCCCCCAGCAGCTGCACGTGTCTACATGTGGTCTATTGTGACAGGGAGGTAAACTACCAGACGAGGCAGAGAGATCAGCAGCGAGTTAGATGCAGCCCAGGCCATGATCTGTTTGTGCCACTTCCCAAAGCTGTTGTGATGGCCAGTTTTCTGCTTCCTTACTAAGAGATAAGGCTTTTGGGGTTCCCCTGGCAAGTCTGGCTAGACCAGAACCCAGAAGTAGGTGCATCTTCACTCGCATCATCTTGGCACATCTCCTAAGATTAGCCCAGAGGACGGTGGCACAGCTGCCTGCCAGCCTCTTTCTGCTAAAGAAAAAAAAATCCTTCCAAGCAAACCATTTGGGTCAGGTCCTGGGAGGGGGAAGTGTTGGATGAATACTTTCACACAGCTCAATGCAAGCAGAAAACTCTAGAAAACATGGAGCAAGCCCTGTGCCACTGTAGGTTAAGCTACCTCTTAGGAGGCCCACATCCCATATCGAAGTGCCTGGTTCTAGTCCCTGCAGCTCCACATCCAATCCACCTTCCTGCTAATGAGCCTGGGAGGCAGCAAACAATGGACCAAATACTTGGGTTCCTGCCAATAACATGAGAGACTCAGACTGAGTTCTAAGCTCCTGGTTTCAGGCTGACCATTCCTTGGCTATTGTAGGTTTTTGGGAAGTGAATCTGCAGGTGAAATATTGCTCTTTCTGTCACTCAGCTTTCCAAACAAATAAATAAATCATTGGCGAGGGGAAAGCCTTTAACAAAACAGCTCAGGAGCCTGGTGCGGTAGCCTAGTGGCTGAAATTCTCATTTTACATGTGCCAGGGTCGCCAGTTTGTATCCTGGCTGCTCCACTTCCCTTCCAGCTCCGTCCCTGCTTGTGGCCTGGGAAAACAGATGAGAACTGCCCAAGGCCTTGGCACCCTGCACCTGTGCAGAAGACCCAGAAGAAGTTCCTGGCTTCATATTGGCTCAGCTCCAGCCGTTGTGGCCAATTGCCAAGTGAACCAGTAGATGGAAGATCTTTCGCTCTGTCTCTCCTCCTCTCTGTCAATCTGACTTTCCAATAAAAATAAATAAAATCTTTTTTTAAAAAGAAAGAAAGAAAGAAAAAAGAAAACAGCTCAGGTGACAGAAACCTTGAGAGTAGCTCCAGGAATGGCTAAGATCCTCCACACAATAAGAGGAGCACCACCTGTGTAACCCAGACTCAGGCTGGACTCCAAGCAGTCTCAGTTCCCCAGCAAAAGTGCCCCCTTCCCTCCAGGCCTAAATGCTACTCCTCTGTGAGACCCTGCGATCCTTCCTCCAAAGCCACCCACCTCCCTCCCTACAACACACAACCATGTTAAATTCCCTAGGGAGTGTCCCTCTTGCTTTTTTTTTTTTTTTTTGCATTTTATTTTAAGTCAAGACTTCAAGATTTCAAGTCTGCCATCCATTGGTTCATTCCTCAAATGACTGCAATGGCCAGAGCTGGGCTGGTCTGAAGCCAGGAGCTAGAAGTTTCTTCCAGGTCTCTCACATCGGTTCAGAGCCCCAAGGGCTTAGGCCATCCTCTGCTTCCTTCCCAGCATACAAGCAGGAAGCTAGATCAGAACTGGAGCAGCTGGGATGTGAACTGACACCCATATGTGATGCCAGTCCTGGTAGGCAGAGGATTAGCTTGTAGCAACCCCCCCAAAAAAATAAGTGTTAAAAAGTAGAAATTCCACAGGCAAGTGCCGTGCCATGGCACAGTAAGTTAAGCTTTCATCTGTGATATCAGCATCCCATTAAGTGCCAGTTCTCAAGTTCTGACTGCTCCACTTGTGATCCAGCTCCCTGTTAATGCAGCTGGGAAAGCAGCAGGGGATGGTCCAAGTGCTCTTGGCCCCTGCCACCCATGTGGGAGACTCAGAAAAAGCTCTAGGATCCCAGCTTTGGCCATTGTGGCCATTTCAGGGAGTGAACCACTGGGCAGATCTCTCTTTGTCTCTTCCTCTCTATATAAATCTGGCTTTCAAATAAGAATAAATATCTTTTTTAAATTCTATCTTTATTTTAAAAGAAAACCTGTTTTTCAAACAAATTAATAAATGGAAGGAAGGAAGGAAGGAAGGAAGGAAGGAAGGAAGGAAGGAAGGAAGGAAGGAAGGAAGGGAGGGAGGGAGGAAGGAGAAATAAAAGAAAAGAAAAGGAGAGAAAGAAAGAAAAAACATAGAGTGGGTTTAACCCAACCATTTTACAAAAGGAGGGTTAAGACTCCTGGGGGAACGGCCTGGAGGATGTGTTCAGGCTGGAGACCCTCTGGAGGAACTAGCTCCCTCCCTCACTCCACACACAATGCCCTCTCTCTGCTGTGGCCCCAGCTCCATTGGGCCAATTGAACCCAAGGAAGAGAAGCAGATCCAGGGGCCACACCTCCTGTAACATGGAGCAGGTGCCAATAGGAGGGGAGTCGGGAGAGGGAATCCCAGCATCACAGAACCCCTCTGGGCACTGCAGACCCCCACCCAGCATTCCCCCACCCCATGAGGAAGCCCCACCCTGCTGAGCTGTTCTGAAGAAGACCTCTTCTGGGAAAGTGCCACTAGACAGGACAGCCTGCTGGCTAACCTCCTGGCCTAAGGAGCTGGCCAGGGACAGTTCAGGGCTCCATCTGTGCCCTCAGGACACCTGCCAAACCACTGCACAGCCCAGACATCCCTGACCCAGCACCCTACGAAGCTGCTCAGTGGGGCCACTGTGGATATGCTGAAAACATGTCTTGGGATAGGAGTAACTTAATGCCAGGAAGGTAAACTGTGAGCAGGACAAGGTGCCGGTGCCCCTTAGTCTTCAGGACTCAATCAGCATACTTCCCACAAAGGCACTGGATTGCAGAGTGCAGGTGTCCGGGACTAGCAGCTAAGTGTCCCTCTCTCCCCAGGGGTACCATCTCCCGGCCTCTCCTCCAGTGCCCAGTGCGAGTTACTCATTTCTACTTTGTGGA